AATGGGCAATCAAATCATTCGCTTCATACAAATCTCCTGGACTTGATGGTATTTATCCAGCTATGATACAAAAGGCTTCGGACCTAATAAAAACATGGCTGATAAATATCTTTAGAGGATGCCTGAAGCATAATTACGTACCCGTAAACTGGCGAGTGGCAAGAGTCATTTTTATTCCGAAAGCAGGAAAAATTGGTCACCTCTACTCTAGAGATTATAGGCCAATTAGTCTTACCTCTTTTATTCTCAAAATTTTTGAAAAAATACTAGCAGCACATATAGGAGACCAATTAGCTCCTGAAGTTCTGTCAAGAGCACAACACGCTTATACTAAGGGCAGATCCACGGAGACTGCTCTCCATACACTTGTCTCTAATATTGAAAAGGCCTTAGAATACAAAGAATACGCTCTAGGAGTTGTTCTGGATATTGCGGGTGCTTTCAATAATGTATCAACGCAAGCTATTTTAAATAGCTTAGATGATGTTGGTATAGACTCAGCCACATATCAATGGATTGCAAGCCTTTTAAGCTGCAGACAGATAAGGGCAGAATGGAACGATACAACTCTAGCTAGGGAAACATGTAGAGGAACCCCGCAGGGAGGCGTTCTCTCACCCCTTCTCTGGTTACTGGTAATCAATAAAATTCTTAAACAATTTGATGGTAAAGCTCCGAAACTAATTGCATATGCGGACGACATCGCAGTAGTTATAACGGGGAGATGCCTATCTACTCTAAGTGCGTTAATGAGCGACGCTCTCAAATTAATTTACAACTGGGCGACTGACGCTGGCTTAAGCGTAAACGCAGAAAAAACTGACACAATACTTTTCACAAGAAAGTACAAGGTCACAGCATGGACGCCACCTAACTTGAACGGAACTCTTCTGCCACTGAAAACTCAAACGAAATACCTTGGAGTAATTGTGGATAGCAAACTGGCGTGGAAGCCTAATGTAGAAGAACGGGTAAAGAAGGCAACAAATGCTTTATACGCATGTAAAAGGATGCTGGGAAGTACATGGGGTCTCTCACCCGGTCTTATGTACTGGTGCTACACGGCTATAGTTAGACCTATATTACTTTACGGTATATTAGTTTGGTGGACAGTTGTGAAAAAGAAAACATATATAAAACCCCTGGAAAAGGTCGAAAGACACGCGGCGATGTGCATCACCGGTGCAATAAGAACAACTCCGACGGCAGCTCTAGAAGCTATACTAAACTTACCCCCAATTGATATCTTTGCCGAGAATATGGCGGCAAAAACGGCCGAACGGCTACGCATTACTGGGCAACTTACTCGAAGATCTTTCGGGCATAACGTTGTAAATCAGAACGCCACTCTTGATTCGGATTATATGATTCTGGTCATGTACCCCGGAGCAACAATAAAAACTGTGATCGAAAACGAAGGATGGAAAAAAGGCATGGTGCCAAAATGCAACACCATAAATGTTTTCACAGACGGTTCAAAGATGGAAGTGGGAGTAGGAGCTGGCATATATTGTGCGGAATTGAGCATAAGAATGCCGTTTAAACTTCCCAACTACTGCAGTGTATTCCAAGCAGAAGTGTTTGCTGTTAAGAAAGCGGCGGAGCTTGTGTGTAGGGAGGAAACCAGAAAGTACTGCATAAATTTCTATGTGGATAGCCAAGCAGCCATTAAGGCGATCAAATCTTACTGGTCATCATCCAAAAATGTTCTAGAATGCAAGGAAGCTATAACAAGACTAGCCTGCAACCGCAGACTTTGTATGTACTGGATTCCTGGTCATAAAGGCATAGAGGAAAATGAGACAGTTGATGCTATTGCTAAAAATGGCGCAAAACTTTCAGAGGAACAAACGAACGAAGTACTTAGACCTCTGAAACAAATACATAAACTTCTGGACGAGCACATGATAAGGAGAGCAAAGGAAAGGTTGCGGAACTTAACCACCTGTAGAACAGCTAGAATTATGTGTAGGCACATATATGAAGAAAAATACACCAAGAATGTTATATCGTTAAACCGAAGGAACTGTAGAACATTAATTGGTGTGTTGACAGGTCACTGTTTGGTTGCATCACATGCCCGAAAACTAAACCTAATTCACAACGATGCTTGCAGAAAATGCAATGAGCCGGATGCAAAGGAAACTCTAGAGCATCTGATGTGTAATTGCCCGGCTCTCTCGAGAACTCGACAAAAATACTTGGGAGCTTTCAGTTTTGCAGGACTGGAGTACATACCTGAGGTTTCTGTTGGAATCTTAATAAATTTTGCTAATGAAACGCGCATCTTAAGTGATGCTTACAATCGCTAAAACAAGACTCTGATCTGGTATCGCAATGGACCCTAGTGGTCTACGCGTGGCCTTTATGGCCTGCCAGCATAATCTAATCTAATCTATAATTACAATAAAATATCATTAGTACATAAGTATAACTATAAATATTGTAATAAATTTATTTTAAGAAAAATAATAAAAACCACGAAACTAACAAAATAGCCCGTTTTTAATTACGAGAAGATTCAGGGTTACAGCGAGCAAAACCTTGGCTTGAGAAAAAAAAGGTTCTTTACAATACCCTCCTAGATCCTTCTTCCGCTTATGAATCAGTGCCGGGCACTCCCCAAGCACATGATATGCAGTTTTTCTCTCTTCTCTACAGTATCTGCAGTCTGAGTTGGATTGAATTCCTAACTTCTTTAGATGATTATTCAATCTACGTTGACTAGTCGATAATCCCGTAATAATTCTTAGGTTATTATTTGATTGTTCTATACAATCTTTGAAGCGTTTTAGGTTGTAAGTCCTTAAAAGCATTTTAAATTGTAAAAGTCCTGGTATCCTTTCCCAATAGAGTTCTCTTTCTTTTTTCGCTGCACCATTCATAAGAATTGATAGAGTTCCTTTGCCAAGACCACTGAAAAAATGTGGGTCTATCATTTTTGAAGCCGTGCTTCTTTTTGAAAGTTTATCTGCCTTTTTATTGCCTTGGATTTCAGCAGTGATTGTTGCACCAAGGTACATCCTTGGTGGAATTAATCTAGCTTAATAGACAGCTAACCTCATATGCATTTAAAATGGCACCATTAAGGTTTTCTAATTGAATTTCATTATGAATGATTTCATCTGGCCCTAATTGAACAAGATTGTCTTTCAGATTTTCCGTATAGGCTTCCCAATTTATTCTTCTTGGGTTGCTTAGGATTTGCTTGTTAATTGGTGAGCCTCCAATGTCGATTCTATGATCAGACATAGAAGGTTAATTGGTTTCTCTCCAGTTTTTAACAAACTAAAAACACCGAGTATTTCCTAACTCACCTCTTTGAGTGAGTTAGTTACAAAATTTAGTGTATTCCCTACATTATATATTTCTAATTTATTACTAGTTATGAACTCTATTTATTACTAGTTCTTGTAGTCGCAACCAACTATAAGTGGCGTCTTCGTTCTTTCGCAGTAGTCAACCAGTTTATCGACCCCTGCAAATGATACCTGAGTGTCGTCTCCTGATAGATAGCCTGTAGCTACAAATACGTTACGTAGTACTCTGTTGATGTTGGCCGGAATTTGTCTGGCAACGAGGACCCTAGAGAGAAATTTTGAAAGTCAGATAAAGTTAATATTAATAACTTTATCTTTTATTGACTTTAGCCAATAAATATTGGTTCTCGCCCGTGCGACTAGTAGAGTAACATTAGCATGACTTTCTTAGCATTACGTTCCTACATTAGGTTCTATACATAAGAAAGAACAAATCATGCAACAAATAGTGCCGCTACGAATAGAATAGTTTTGAAATTGAACAATTAAAAATAAAAAATATAATTAATTAATTAATTCAATTATTCTACAGCTGGTTTATGATTTCGTTCTAATATATAAATACAGCAAGTAAAATTGTTAATAAAAACTTTCATAGCAAAAGTAACAAAACTCCAGCAAAAATATGCGAACATAAAAAGTCAAGTACGGCTTTTTATCAGTTGGTTAAGGTGCGCTGATTCTGAGCTTCATATTTGGCAGGACCCGACTTCGATTCCTGGTACTTGCAGTTTCAAAAATAATTATTTACGAATAATTAAATATAAGAATTATTTCCAACACCACTGATGAAGGGTATTTGGCAATACTCGAAATAGCTGTATGGTCAGCCAAAAATTCAATTAATTAAAATAATTTAAAAAATAAATTTTTGTTGTTGTTTCACTTCTGTTCAAAAACCTCTTTATATTAATGTTTAATAAAATGCAAGCTCTTAGTTTGCGACATCTTACATCGCAAGGTATCTGTACATTCCTTGCAGTCAAATCACTGATTCGACCTCTGTGAAACTAGGGTTCTTGGACCAACATTATACTCAAGTTTGATTAGAACATTACCCGTGCTATAATTGCCGATGCAGCTTTTGCATGGTAGAGATTTATGTGGGTGACTTTGGTGCTGGTCATCAAGTAGTAATTTCTTCGTTTCCTCCGCCAGACCATCGTCGATATCTGACAGAGAGTTTCAGTCGGAATCGTCATCGGGCGCAAAGTTCAGTAGGAAAAGATTTGGGGTATTAATATCCTCACTTTCGTGAGGCAACATATTGATGTCCTCAATTTTCTCACTTCTCGTTGCCTCCCCAGCCGAGTTACTTTTCTTCTTGTTCTCTATCTGAATGGACCAAGATTGAGCTGAACCTATAGAAGTTCTTACAGTTATTGGTTTCGACAGCTTCCTGAGACCGGTTCTTGGGAATCAGCTTCCTTGACCGTCAGCTTCCTTGTCTACACAGTCAACCAGTATGATTTCCAACCGAAAGTGTGTCCCGCCAAATCCATCCTTTATACATCTCCTCGATATTACCTTGCTCGTCTCTCTCGAGAGTTGAATGCGAATGGCTATTCCTAAGCTTTTGGCTACACTGGCGTAACTACTGCCTGATATTGTTTTTCTCGGTAGTTTTGATGCAGCCATTCACATAACGTTCTTCGCTTGCAGAGATTTGTCATTCCTTTTACTTTTCTTAATCGATTCGACATCGATCGGACTAATTTCCTGGACAGGCCTCTTTTTGAAATCTTGACGGCCATTTGGCTAATTGAGTACCTTTTCCTTAACCGCGTCAAGCGTTAAGCCTTCTTTGAGGTAACTCAAGCAGCATTTGGTACCCGCACCACTCAAGCGAGTATATTTCCTGGCGTAGTGAAAGCTTAGGCCGGAGGTTAGTCTAGAGTTTGTCGAGGGCTATAGTAGTGTCATCTTTCGGCGCAATTTTCGAGCCCACAGTTCCCTAACTTGTCTTAAATAATGAAGTTCTCATTTTGAATTCAGTTAGCAAAGCGCTAGTTTCGTTCCTAGCTTCTAAAATTCCGTCCCTTACCCCCGACTGCAAACAAATGAAAAAGGATAGTAAGAGGATTAGAATGGTTGCAGTTAGGAATTTTAGAAGTGGGAAGGGTGCAGGCTCCTTCCGCAAGGGGTAAGTACTTGGGGTTAGTCTTATCTACGCACCCATCTAGTGAATTATTAGGAACCCCCCAAAAAAATATGCACATAAATATATGCAAAAATTTATATAAGTACATAAAGAAAATATAAAATTAAATTTTAATTTTATAGTTATTTTAATTTAAACTTTAAATTTTTTAACTTATTAGTTGCTAACAAGTATATTTAACAAGTTGGAGTGTTAAACCAAAGACTATTTAATACTCAATGGTTTTACTTTAAATAAGATTTATTGATGAACGTTTTAAAATATCTCATTAAAATAATTAATATTTCTGGTTGTTTAAGTTTAATATATTAGGTCTGTTTCAAGAGCTATTCGTAGCAGCAAATTTTTGAGTAAATGAGAGCAACTGAGAGAGCGTAACATCGCTGTCGAAATTTGAAAATGCTATACAGACTTTACTCGATATTTAATTTCAAGTAAAATTTGTGTGATGTGTGAATCAGCTGTTTTGGTTTGAATTTAAATTTTTGTATTGTTTATTTGCGCAGCACTGGTGTTCTTACCAGATTTTACATAAAGCTGTTCCACAAAAATCTGTGTAAAGAGTGTAATTTAGCACTTTATTTGTCTTATGCTTTCAGTTTGTACTTAACTTGTGTTTTACTTAAATTTTACTACGAGTAGCTCAAGAAACAGAGCTATTATTTATATTATATGTTATTAGGTATATGGGCCTATACAGCTATTATTGAAATAGTGCATTTTAATTACTATATGCTATGTAGTAACTATATATCGTATACTAATTTTTCAAAAAACAGTCACAACTTACTGAATCATTAAAATTATTCTTAATAAAAAATAAAGAATTATTCGTTGCTAATATAATAAGCTTAGTAATGTCATAGACAAAAATTAATTTGAATAAAACTATTTATTTTTTAAATTGACAAAGTAAATAATTATATTTAAAGACGTGTTTGTACACTTAAACACATTGGTTGAACTTGTATTGAGTTATTGTAACAATAATTTATTTTTTCGCTGTGTTTTTCCTAATACAGATATATGCGCACCAAATAATAACAGTACAATTTTTTGTCGATGTCTGACCTAATACTAATAAATAATATAAAATCAGTTGCATCATATTTGTGACAATTATAATTAATACTGGATACCATACGCAAAAAGCAAGTATAAGATAAGTGAATATAAATATTTTCAATTCAATATATGAGTTCGCTTGTAACGACTGAAATTTTGTAATAATTTCCAACCTACATAAATTTACTAAATCCATATTTAATCTGAAATTGAAATATATGAATTAACATTTAACATAGTTATTAGAAACTACTCACCAAAAGCCATCCAGCCTGCACGCAAATACAACACGTGAAGTAATCTGAAATTAGGATAAAAATAATTTGTAATAAATAGAGAATATATTTTTATAAAATAATAAATACATATCGTCTTTATTTATCCCCTTGAATTTATTTTAATTTATTTATAAATTATTTATTATTATATTATATTATATTATTATATTTAAAAAAAAAACACTAGCACCGCTCTTTTTATAAAAATGTAAACAAACATTTACAAATGTCAAAGAAATGTCAGAATGCAATTCGCTGAAACACATGCACAAGAAAGCTTTTGTACAAAAGTACTAAATTGCATCGAGTTCAATTATGATCAGTTCAAACCTTTGTGTATTTAACACACAAAGTTTACATGCGTATAAAAGACGGAACAGTTTTGTAAAAATTTAGTGTGTCTTGTATGATCACTCGGTGCCATTGTATGCCAAAATATGAATTAAATAAATATAAATTATTATCTGACAGGAAGGCGGTTTTAAGCCCAGTAAATAATATATAATAATATATAAGAAATATATATAATTGCTTACACTTATTGAGGCGGTTTTAAGCTCATATACGTGAACGCTATTACATATATATGCAATCATAACAAAAATATATATATTTTTTTGTTACTATTCCTTTCCCTTCAAACAGGTAGAGTACACTCAGCAAGGGACCTAGAGCAAAGCCGACACAGTAATATTTTTCGCAAAGCAGATAATCGAAAAGTACAAGACAAAGAGTATAGATTGCACATGCACAACGAAGCAAATTTTTTTTTTATTACTACAACTATTTACATTATAAATAAGGAGTAGCTTGAATTTAATCAATACTATACATACATAAATAAGAAATTTTCTACACAAATTACTTTACATTCTAATTCAATGCCATGTCAGCGACATTTCGACGTTTTAGTCGTCTCGGTTGTTGTTGGAATTTATTATATATATTGTTATTATATATTTTTCGGCTTCTTACTGTTGCTAGGTTTTATTTTACACTGACTGCATATTATACATGCAGTCATATTTATACTATGCTGTCATATTTATAGTAACGAGTAATTGTTGTACTAGCGATGTTGTAAAGTGCACATGGGTATTTGGTATTACAACACTTCCCCTCAAATCCCATGCACCCTCCACAACACCACATTCAATATGTCGATTAAACTTGCTTCGAAAAATTTCAACAATCACTCGTTTTACAATCTAGTTTTTTTGTTTGCTAAGTCAGTACGTCAGCCATCATTTTCTGCGTAGGAATGTACTTGACCCTGGTTGTCGTTGAAGAAGACCACAGGTTTTTGTGCGCCAAGCATTTCTGTTATAAATCGCCTTAGGTACACTGCCTCTTTCACAGCATCGAATATAGCTATATATTCGGCTTCGGTTGATGACAGAACTATAGTTTGTTGTTTTCTAGACTCCCAACTGATGGCACCATTGCAAAATGTGAATGCGTATCCGGTGTAGGACTTTCTGTCATCTATATTTGATCCCCAATCAATATCATTCGTGTACTTATGCTGGTGCATCTTGATTTCATTTGCTTCTAAGTTTTGCTCAAATTCCAGTCCAAGACAATATTTTAATGGACCCATGTCTTTCATATCAAATGAATTGGAAAGTTTTTCTTGTAACCTTTTTATTTTCATTTTGTTGTTGGATGCAACCATAAGATCGTCTACATATATGAGGACTATAAGAAAAATCTCACGTGTATTTTTCACATATACGCATGGATCACTATTTGATGGTAGTAAACCTATCTCACGTAGTTTTTCATGGAGCTTCTGATACCATTGTCGACCTGATTGTTTCAAGCCATACAATGCCTTCTGTACTTTGCTTACTTTTCCT